CAGAACTGAGTGCTGCGACATTTTGCTGAACGATTAGCGCCATGCGCAACACCAATAAACAATAGCAAACTATTACACTATATTTGCCTCATTCTTAAAAATGAGTTCGTTCACTTCACACTACTGGGACTTCCAGCTGTAGCTTATGGAACGGACGCTGTCTTAGCTACAGTGTCGCCTTAAGTAACTTCAGCCAAACTCTTCGGTTTCATGAACTTAGTTCTATAGTGAGAAGGAAATTTCATCGCGTAATTCGTACTTCTTGCCAAATTTTAGTCTAACATGGCCCGTTCAAGACAATCCCCAATACGATTTGCTTAGATTGTCTGTTTATGATTTGTGGTATTAGCCTGAGTAGACAGCATTGTTGCACAGTTTCGTCGCCAGCCTATGTGAGATCAGCATTGGTGCGTTGCCAATAATGTCTGGCTAATATTGGCACTTGGCTAATCCAGAAATGTTGTCACTTGCAACTTAACCGACCTTCCTATATGCATCCTACGTTGGAGACTGCAAGTAATCCCCTGATCTGCCACTCATGTTTGTCCACAATGGGGCTTCAGTGCTTAATTTTGGATTCAGGAATGCTGTTGCGACCTGAGAAGGTCGATCGAACTTCTATCGGTGCTTCAAGAATCATCTCGGCTGGTCTCAAATCGCTTGCAACATACTTGCCAAGTTAGATGAGCAGTCTACAAAATGAAAGATGCTTCGCATCCAGAAGTTTGCGCAGGTTTAACTTTTAATGGGGTATCTATTATTGTGGAAGCGGGGACGAGAGCTGACAAGCGTGCATCGAAATCTAACAGTGATATGACCCGAGTCATCCTCCACTCTTCGGCTTTCTGCCCATGCAGAAGACAGTGTTTACTTCTCAAATATTAGTACTTCCCTTACCAATAGCCGTGGGTTCAGTTGCTTGCATAGGATCGAGAGAAAGTGAACTACTGAAGAGGCCAAGAGGAGAAAACACAAGTCTGTAGCTTCTCTGGATTGATACCACGAACAATGAACAATGAGTTATCACGGGTAAAATGGCTGTTGTTTGACACATCCCACGGGATGGTAGGGCTAAAATTATAATATCAAAGCGTCCGTCGACCAGACGCTCTGCTGAGTAACAGTAGGGTCAAATGAGCATTGAATACAAAGGACAAGACCACATGGGGGCAGTTTCAGTTTATGGATTCCGTCGGGAAATGAAATAGGGCAAAATCACCTATTTATCGCCTCCTTATGTCAACATGACGCATCAATCCGGTTGGAAATCATGAGTAGCAAAGTTTAAGAAACGGAGTGATGGGGATCAACGGCAACATCCAGTTGTTTTTTGAATATATCCAAGGTGCAGGAGAAAACTAATGAATCTGGGAGAGAGT